ATAGAACTACTTAAACAAGAAGCCTCCTTAGAGTACTTATGTAATTTGCCTCCTCACAGGTAAATTCTTTTTTCCCCCTTTACTTAAAAAAGGTTATCATGAGTGGCAATGACTTTTTAGGAGTAAGAAGATAAATTCTTCTTATAATCTGTTAATTGGATTATTATGCTTTACATTTTTTTTTTTTTTTAAATTTTCAATTTCTCCCCCCACCTTGCTCTTTTAGGTACCAGATCTGCGCATTATATCTTGAAGTAAATATATCTTTAATTTATAAGTTTTTATTTACAGATACGAGGCTCTTTACGCTAAGACAATTCCTGAGTCCATTACTGGCGAGACGTTTTTGGAGGAATATAAAAATCATAATGATCCTGTCACTATTATTGACCAGAAGCGTACTTATGTAGTGAGAGCTCCCGCAATACATCCTATCTACGAAAATTTCCGAGTCAAGGTTAGGACTTCAATGAAGATTTTAATTAGTTATAAGTAACTAATTGTTTATTCTAACTGTTTCATCCTTTTGCCCAGTTATTATGTATAACTGTGTTAGTAAAATTCTGCTGTGGTAATCTGCTATTTAAGAAAATTTATTTTGATTATTATTATTTTTTCAAGCTAATTATGTAGTGAAGCCTGTCTATAAGATTTTACAGCTCAATCATGTACGCATGGCATATTATTATTGTATTTTGTAGATTAAAGGGTATAGTGCACTGAAATACTGAATACGTTTGTCTTAATGCTTTGCCACCGAAAATCTAAATTATTTAAGACAATGACCTGCTTTACACTTTTATTTTCAGATAAAGTGTCTTTTACATGTTATTCTTCATGTTTCCTGTTACAAATATTTTAAATTTTAATCAATTCTCCTCTGTAATATGGTGTGCAGACCTTCAAAGCACTTCTAACATCGGCAACTTCAACTGATCAACTTACAGCTTTAGGAGAATTACTATATCAGGTACTTGAAGAGCTTCAGTTGATCAACTACTCTATAGTAATTTTTGTATGCTCTTGCAACTGTTAATGAAACTGAAATAACAATTTTGGATGAGCACTTTATTAATTTCGGTTCCTAATTTTAGTATTTGGAACTATGGTATAAGCATATTATAAACAATTGCCTTGTCGTGATAGAGCAATCACTTGCTTTTAACTTGTTGTGCATGGTAAGAAGATCAAAAGAAGTATTGATTTCTATCTTTATGTGCTGTTAATTAGGTTAAAATGCAAATTAATAGCCTGATTTCATTAGTTAGCTCAAATCCAGTATTTACAGCTATATTACTTGTTTGATAGGAGCTGTTTTCTTGTTCCCTCTTTCTTCAATATAAACTTTAGTATTAGAATTGAAGAATACCAGAATATAAAAAGAGAAAAACGGTTAAATTTTTACTATCATTTCATTTGCAGTGCCACTACAGCTACGGTGCTTGTGGACTTGGCTCTGATGGAACAGATAGGCTTGTTCACTTAGTACAAGAGTTGCAGCATAGTGCAGCATCTAAATCTGAAGGTGGGACTTTGTGTGGAGCCAAGATCACTGGTGGGGGTTCAGGTGGAACAGTTTGTGTAATTGGTAGAAATTGTCTCAAGAGCAGTGAACACATTTTTGAGGTATTTTTATTTTATTATAAATTTAACATATTATTATAATTAAGAAAATCCTTCATATCTCTTTTGGATGGAAGGTGAGAAAAAATACTTTTTATCATAACCTGCTTTAGGCTTAATTTTTCTATAGTTGTTCTTAATCTTGTTGACTTTATGTGGCCTCATATAGTCTACAAAGCCTTAGTAAATGAGGCTTCATGAAATACTCTTTATTAATCTGAATTCTGCAATACACATTTTGATTTCAGGTTCAGCAGAGGTACAGGAAAGCTACTGGTTATTTGCCCTTCATTTTCGAGGGTTCATCGCCGGGTGCCGGAAAGTTTGGGTACCTGAAAATACGCCGTCGAGCTTCCCTCAAGAAAGTTAACAGCGTTGGGGATTATGGAGCAGTCATGGAGGAGAATAACAGCCTTGGGAATGATGGTGCAGTCATGGAGGAGAATAACAGTTGATCATGGCTTATACCTAAGTACCTTGGTACTCATTCCCTTGATGATCTTTCACCGGAACTTGTATAGTATAATAAATTTTAAACGACTTTAACCAATTATTAACATTCTGGCCTGTCAGAATATCTAAATTGTGAAGTGTTAATGGCCATTATCAGCTTTTTGTACTATTAAAGGGAACAAGATTATGAGGGAAATGAAGCTGTTGATGGCCAAAATATTGGATATTAATGAAATGAATAAATAAATACTGAACAAATTGTTCAGTATGTATGTATGAATAGTTGCATTTGTGTTATTCTAAATTTGAAGTTTTCTTTTCTTTGGGTGTTTCCATGTGCGCTCTTCATTTTTTACATGGCTAATTACACGTACTTATTATAGCAGACCAGAATTATTTTAAGTCTAGTTGAACTAATTATCACCAACTTAAGAGTGGTACAAAATGTGCTAAAGAATATGGTAAGTTACATGTATCTGGTGCTATTTACGAAAAGCATTGTTTACATAACTTCGAATTACGGTTCTAATTAAGTTAAATAGAAACAAGATGTGGAGATTGAAGTTTTAATAATAAAAATTTAGGGAGATTCTTATTTGGGATGTAATTAAGCGAAAGATGCAGTTAGTTTTTATTTGCATGTAATAAGAGTGCCAATACTATAAAAAAAAAAAAAAAAAAATTGCCAATAGGCGAATTACACTACCGATCAAATTCATTTTCGGACTTCATGGTAAGTAAATATTAACTCTTAATATTATGAAGAAGGTTATACTTACAACTTATTTTCGTTTACAACATCTTACAATTATATCTTAACCGTTGATTTTCGTCCATCAACGGTTAAGATATTCTCAAATTAAATTTATTAATTAATTATTAATTCACAATAAATGATAATCGTTGATTGGCGAAAATCAACGATTAAGATATGATTGTAAGAGTTTGTAAATGAAAATAGGTTTAAATATAACATTCCCCTAATATTATATGGTTGAAAATTTTGATGGGTAATTTCTTTCCGTTTTAACCCATTTTTTCTTTTGTAATTCCAGTCTCAAAAACTTTCATATTCTACTGCAATAAGATTACTATTTTAAGGTAAATAAGGATAAGGCATAAATAACAACGAATTAAGATATGCGGAAGGATATTGTGACAACCAAGTTGTGTTACTACCAAGTGACTACCAATCAATCTCACTGTTAGATCGATTATGTTGATCCAACGGTTATATTTATTTTCATTTTTGTATGGTCATGATTTCCCAAATTTAATACTTTATATTTATTTTCACCTTTGTATGGTTATGATTTCCCATATTTAATGCTTTCACTTTAAATATGGGGAATCATGACCATACAAAGATGAAAATAAATAAAACTGTTAGATCAACATAATCGATTTAACGGTGAGATTGATTGGTAATCACTTGGTAGTAACACAACTTGGTTGTCACAATATCCTTCCCCCTAAATATTGTCGGAGGAATGCAGCTTCCCTTTCCATCTTCCTAAAAAGAAGTTACATAATCACCAAATCAGTAAATTAATGCTGAGTGTTTAATTACAATTTTTAGTATTGGGCTGATTTCATTCATCTCTGCTCTTTTTTATACGTACACTGTAGTTTAACATAAACTAATAATTCAAAATTATTAATTTGATTAAGTTACGCATGTACTGATTCAAAAAGTTTTATAGATAAAAGCAATTATTTCTCAGTTTTTTTTCAAATAAAAAAGAGAAGGGTTATACTTACCACTAGGTAAGTTTATCACATTTACAATCAACCTTATCACCATTAGATTAGAATTAAATCTAATGACTCATAAATATCTTTTATAATCTTAACTTTTTCTCTCACATTCCATCTTTCTCTAGGTTTTGAAACTGCACATCTCTCTCTCTTTAGGTTTGGAAACTTCACACCTCTCTCTCCAAATTTCTCTCTTCATGTCACACAGCGCTCTATCGAAATTGAAGGTGAGTTCTCATTTGTTGCACGGATTCATGGCAAGATGATCAGATTCATGGAAATAACAATTCATAATAAAAAAAAGGAACAAATGTTTCTGCAGTTAATGCAGATAAGTTATCTGCAATTATTCTCACAACGACGTTGTTTTGATATTGAAATCTTAAAAATTATACATATAAAGACTATTATAACCCTGAAATAAATTAAAATTACAAATACACCATGATTTTCGCCTCAAAACGACATCGTATTGGACTTACTGCAGATAACTTATCTGCAGTAACTGCAGAAAAAGCGAAAAAAAAAAAACGAACTCATATTACCCTCCCACCAGTATCATAAATGGATTCATGAAATCTGTTAAAAAGCACCTTGATCATCTTGGTAATTTGCGAATATATAACAAATTCATTAGAGAGAGAATTATCTCACCAAACGTACATATATTCCACCACCAAGACACTGATTGATATTAGAGAGAGAATTATGATTGATATTAGAGAGAGAATTATCAATCGGTATTAAAGAATATATTTGAAACTGAAAATCAAAGTGTTGTAATGACGAAGAAAGGTGTATAGTTCCCGAGCCTAGAGAGAGGAGATGGAAACCTAGAGAAAAGGGAATGTGAGAGAAAAATTAGAATTACAAGAAGTAATTATGAGATGTTAGATTTAATTTTAATCTAACGATAATAAAATTGTTTGTAAAGATAGATTTAATTTTAATCTAATGATAATGAGATTGATTATAAAGATGGTAAACTTACCGTATAACTCTTCTCAATAAAAAAAATGTACATTATAATATTCTTCACTTTTTTCAAATAAATAACTTGTGAATACAATGATAAAAAATGAATTCAAAATCAGGGTACTAAGAGAAGAGAATAGAAGGAAGGATATTTTGCCATTCATCTCCTTTAGTGATCTCAACAACCAAAATCAGAACAGTAACTGTTTGTGAAAATGCCAAAGAGAAAAAAGTCCTACTTGGTCCATAACCCCAATAACCAAACCACAACCCCAAGAAGGTCACCGAGGTTACTCCTCCTCCTCCTCCCCCAAAACAAAAACAACCACAACAGTCCCACAGCGCTCAACCCCGAATCCGCGAAGAAATCCAACGATGATTCCACGAAGAAATCATTGGTCGTCGAATCCAGAAACAGAAACTGCACTGTTGGGTCGAGAAGATCTCCCAGGTTGAACTTGAACAATGGAGGGGTCGTTGGGTTTTCCTCTCTTAGACGATCTCCCAGGTTGTCCAATCACAAAGTTCCCCACCCCACGGCCACGGGAATGAGCAAATGGATAATAAGAAATCAAGTAACTCTGATGATGAATTTTTTTCCTGTGATTCTGGGAAATCAAGGAGAGTGACGAAAGAAAGTTCCATAGTTACTGATGAGGGACCTGCGGTTGAAGAAAGTAGAGGTGGACGAGGAAAAGGGGGGAAGGCGAGAAATGGAGACAGGATTGAAGTTGGAGTGAAGAGAAAGCGAGGTGGTGGCAAAGAAATTATTGCCAAAGGGTGGACAAAAGAACAAGAATTGGCTCTGCAAACAGCATATTTCACTGCAAAGCCCTGCCCCTATTTCTGGAAGAACGTTTCTAAACTGGTATGGTTTTCATTTCCCTGTCATTCTTGTTATGTATCATTCTCTCTTTCTCTATATGTATGTGCCTTGTTATCTTTGATAGAGGCTGTAGTACAAAGGCTTGACTTGGTTTGGCTTTAACTGTGAACTAAATTTGAGAATGTTGTTGCAATCTTACTGAAATTTGCAAGTTTTATTCTTGAGAGTGGCTTGTGCAATCTTGATAGCTGGCAGTTATGTGCTTTGCATTTTTGAAAAGTTTAGTTAATTTCTGGGGTTGAGGATCATACAGAAAGCGAAACAGTTTGCTTTAACCTTGGTTGATGATTGTCTTTTTTTCTCCTTAATTTTGTTGTCTTTGCTAATGTTAAAAAGCAAATATGATGCTGGAAGTGTCACCTGAGATCTTGCTTGTTCTTTGTTAGCTGAGGATAACAGTGGACAAAAGATTATGTTATTTGGAAGGCCAAACGTATATAGCACAGTGAAATGTTTTGAAATGGAGTTGTCGTTGATAAGTTCTCTGTATGTATATTTTTCCTAAAGAATAAATGCAAATTTACCATTTGTTGGTAGTTAGTTGCAGATGGATGCGGATCATTCTCATATTTGGGACTAGCTTATTTATAGCCATTTTTCATTCTTTTTTATTTAATGGTTGCCATACAAAATCTATTGCTTGCAGGTGCCTGGAAAATCCCAACAAGAGTGCTTTGATAGAATTCACCGTGACCATATAACACCGCCTCCATCTCAGCCTCGGTCAAGGGCAAAGACAATTAAGTCAACACCCCTTCATAAATTCTCAATATCTGCAAGTAAACTGCTCAAACCTATTCATAAGACGGTTAGAAGATCAAATTTTCTCAAACTGAAGAACTACATTACCCAAAAGTCCATTGAGAAGCTGTTGCATTGCCATCTTAAAGTTGATCAAGACCGTAAAGGGGACATTTTTTCTGTTCTTGAACCCAACATTGATTTTTCTTCTAATACTGTTCAGCCTAGCGAAGGACTTTCTACTCCAAAGCAGCTAAAGGAAAATCAAGGGTTGCTGCAAAGTTGCACTGAAACATCATCCTCAAGCCATAAGAAGCCCCTTTCAAGATTTAGTAGCTTGTATGTTACAAATCTTGTTAGTCCCCCTGTACTAAAGCAAGTTAAAAACAGGGAATTGCATGAGAAATATATCAATCAGTTACGCTGTAGGGAAGCTAGGAGAAGAGCATCCTTTGCACGGACACAAGTTCCCGTAAGTGGAAAAATAATTGGAGAAGGAAGCAGCATTCAGACAAAGGATGCAGTTAAAGCTGCAAAAGTTGCCTTGGTTTCTGAAGCTAGAGAAGCTATCACTAAATTTCAACAGTCACAAGTCAATTTCATGGGCGACTCATATAATTCTGATGATGACAATGATGATTGCATTGGAGTTGAAGATGAAAGTCAATAGGTTTTTCTCAAGTTAATTGAGTGAAATATAATTGACAAATTGCATGTATAGTAGTTTGACTTGAAGTTTTAGACGCTGTAGCCTAGTCAAAATCTAATTTTTCGAAAAACCAAGATTTTGTAGTAAATTTTCTGTAGTTAATAAAAACGAGCAATCCACATTTTTCTTTTTCCATACCTCCATTTTATTCTGGCAATGAGAATTTTCTAGAAGTGTCTTATAGCAATAATAATCTTGTGTTCATCTAGGTACTTAGATTGAAATAAAGATTGCAAGATCACAATGAGCAAGACTTGCTTGTTATCTTTTAACAATAAGCTCTAAGTACACCACTTTACATATAGCAGCTCCAATTTCTACATGATTTGACGCTTTTATATTTCTTTGTGGACTGTAAATAGCATTGGTGCAACTTCTTTGTTCTGCATTCGGTTGTGGCCTATATATTTTTAAATGAATTCCACCTTTGTATCCTGCCTCTTTGTTTAAGAAATTGTATTTTCATCTTCTTTTTTTAATGTAATGTAATATATACTTGTCTTATATATTAAGAGTCACCAGAACTTGCTGTCCAAAAAATTGTTTGAACCCCTAGTCATACTTACTTATGATATTAGTTTGGATAGAAAACTGGAGGACCATCTGAATTTATGAGTTGTTTTAGGCATAATTTAGTTATGGTCTGTTAGGGACATTGGGTGAAATTGGGCTGATACAGTCACAAATCATGGTGAATTATAGTCTGAGTAGTAATGGATGTTTGGTAGGATTGCCAAGGCAAATTCAAAGGCGAAAGGTACTGGAAATTTTTTTGAATCTCTTTCGTTGAGGGCCTTACAAGTAAGTAATTATCTTGTATTTTTTTATTTAGTTTTATCAAGGTGGTGTTGAAATGATTAGGAGGGATTTACTCACTGGTCAGTGGAGACCTTATCTTGAGCGTGCAATAAGTTTGAAACCCTGCTATGAAGCAGGCATTAATGGTGGTGAGGTACATACCTTCTTTTTCTTTAATTACTTCACTCTTGAAAAAGTATTATTTTGCACAACTTTGTTTATTTATGTAATTTTATAAAGCTTTATTTGTTGATATTTCTGTAACTCTGAAGAATTGGTGCGGAATAAAGGCATTGCTAGTTAATGATAGATATAGGGGATGGACTCATGTCAAAGAAATACAGGGTATAAGAATCAGGATAGTATGTCTAACTAATTACTTTAGGAATGAGAGAAATTTCTAACCTTCCATAATAGTTATCTCATGACCATGGAATAAGCTGAAACATGCGCTTCCATAGTATGGAAGCACCCAGTCGTTGTTGGACTTCATGTAGGCAACTAATATAAGCCAAATCAAATTTGCTCATGCCAATTCTTTGTCCTTATCTCTTTGGTCCACCTTTGAGGTTATAACAAGCAATGCACCTTTAAGTTTTACTAAAGCTGTTGTCAAATACAGTCTGTTCCTTTCTAATGCTATATTTAACATTGGGTACTATGCTGCGACTCCATAGAAGCATTCAACGTTGTTTTGCTGGTATTGCTTGATGTATTAATTGGATCCTGCTAAATAGTTTTCTATATTTGTTGAATCAATGAATAGTTGAATCTGATAAATGTTGTAAAAGGTGGACCTCAAATCAACTAATTGGAAAAGAGCTTGATATTTGATGGCCAGATCTTCTTCTCATATGTTTGATTTGAGGCACTTTGTAGCTTTTAAACTGTTCTAGCTGATAGGGCTACTATATAATGCAGAATTTTTGAGTGGGAGTGCACCAGTCAATCCTGTTCTTTTGTATTCTATATTTGGATTTGTCTCTGACACTGGTAATGCCACTTAGGTTTGTAATCCCCACTAGATTTGTGGATGGGAATCCCTTCCCTATATGCAATTAAAAATACTACAATATATTTGGAAAAAGGAAATCTTGAAAACTAGGAGTATTTTGAATTTATCTGATCAGTCAATGATAACAATGACGCCTATAATATTTAATCTGGCATTGTTATTGCCGGTAATTTCAATATTTGGGATGGACTTTCCAATGTCATTACCTCTGTTTTTGCAATTGAACTGAAACATTAAAATGTTTATCATTTTATTGGATGGTAACCATCTACTTGTCACAGTGTACTGCGTATTTAAATTCTTCTAGGGTTGCCCCTTTCCCCACCTTGAGGGTCGATTGTACATAATATTACCCTTATATATTTGCAATTATTAAACGACTCTGACCAATTATTAACTTTTCTTTATCTATTATTGCAATTTATGGCCAGAATGGAACATGCTGGCCTGTCAGAATATCTAAATTGTGAAGTGTTAATAGCCATTATCAGCTTTTGTGCTATTAAAGGGAACATGATTATGAGGGAAATGAAGCTGTTGATGGCCAAAATATTGGAGATTAATGAAATGAATAAATAAATACTGAACAAATTGTTCAGTATGTATGTATGAATAGTTGCATTTGTGTTATTCTAAATTTGAAGTTTTCTTTTCTTTGGGTGTTTCCATGTGCGCTCTTCATTTTTTACATGGCTAATTACACGTACTTATTATAGCAGACCAGAATTATTTTAAATCTAGTTGAACTTATCACCAACTTTAGAGTGGTACAAAATGTGCTAAAGAATATGGTAAGTTACATGTATGTGGTGCTATTTACGAAAAGCATTTTTTACATCACACCGATTACGGTTCTAATTGAGTGTAACAAACAAGATTTGGAGATTGAAGTTTTAAAAATAAAAAATGAAAAAGTTTATGATATATAAAATAACAAGGAGTATTAAATTTCTGTTACATGCATCATAACTAGTCTTTTAGAAATGGATCCAATTTCGGGAAGACAGAAAAGGTTGAGTGTTCTGGACGAACATTAGTATGGATTAGTTCTAATTGTCTATCCCCTTTGGGATGTTAACCCCTGTATTTATACTCTTAGTTAGCGTAGTTGCACCGGACGTGGAGAGAGGGTGGTTACCTTAGATGTTAATGAGTAGTTATCTGGGACGTGCCATCATGGTAAGTCCCACCTTCTGAATTAATAAAGGGGACAACTGCCCCATAACCCGGGTACCTTTATCCTAGGTTCTTCTAACCCGTATCTGAATACTTAACCCGGAACATTAAGCCGCTAAACATAAGTAACTAACCCGGAACATTGAGTATTGGGTTCTAATGGTTAATAATTTTCCGAAGGGTTGCGTTTGCATTAAAAGCCAACTAACATGGCCCAAGTATTACTAAAAGAAAACACAACAAATGTGTTGGGCTCCTTCACGTCAAAAAGAAGAAAATTTTTTTATTATCATTCATCAATTTTCTTTTTGACAAGGACAAATTTGTTTCTATAGTTTGACACTCTCATAATTTATAAATTACTGAAAATAATTTTTACATGATATCTAGACAAACTATCATTGATTACACAAAAAAGAAGAAGGAAATTACAAGTCTTTCTAGTTTTATATTAATTAACTAAAAATAGAGAAATAATTCGGATTATTTGTTAAATTATGTAACTTTTTTTATGCGGAGCATAAAAGGCACAAATTTCACACTACTATAAGAAGGGAAAAATAAGTTTATAAATTGTACTATAGACTAGTCACTTAATCATAATATTTATTGGGTGGAAAGCGTAAACATGTCGATTTTTTAATGTTATAAAGTCTTGATCGAATCAGCAAGCAACACTCAGGAAAAAAAATTAAAAATTAAAAAGTCTTGTAATCTTTGCAGAATCTAATTATGATATGACAGAGAAATAGAAATAGAAAATTTCTCGCAAATACCTTCCGTAATCATGTTGTATCGAAGACTCCACACATCACTTGTTAAAACTGGAAAAAATAATAATTTATTTAGTTTCTCTTATTCTAGTTGATATTCTAATTGTTACGCAACAATTAAAGAGAATCCAAAATGGAGCAGAGTACCATCCATATATCAATAGGTCTAGCCTAAAAAATAAATCCACAACGTTTCAACCCAAAATCTTACAGCATAGGTTTCATACTTAACTCATTTATTCCTGATATGAGACTTTATCATTCACACTTTAATTCCCATCTGTTATGGACCAAGGAAAGACCCACGACTACAAGAAGCCCAACCAACACAAGCCCAAAGGAAAGCTCTATAAATAGGAGCTAAAGACCACAGGTATGGCTGATCCCTTTAACCCTATTTTATCTAATCACGACAGTGCACACACACACCCCTTCAGGTTGCGGCCATCATATAGTGTGTAGTGATTCGTTGTCCCCAAGATACCAAATTCATAGGTATCTAGAGAGAGAGCCCTAGATCCAACATCAAATACCCGACCTACGGTCGGACACATCTGCCCAAGGCAGAATATTGGCGCAGTCTATGGGAACCGAACCCACGACCACATGGTTAAAAGCCATGATGGTGAGGACAACAAGAAGTGGATTTCGACAACCATCAAGATCGAATTCCAGAATCCAGCCTATCTCTCCAATCAGGGAGAATCCTTTGGATCATCGGCAGATAGATACCGATGCAGTGCACGTTAGTGATGTGCACTCTGATTCGGCATCGACCCCAGCCGTCAATCCGAGCGCCCCGTACGTGCAAGGTTTACAACCAATGGATGAACAAATGGCGGATGCTGTGCAGATACCAAATGGTGCAGTTGGTGATTCTCGAGTGACAGATCTGGTTGTTGCCGCGGTACTCCGGAGAATGGAAGAGATAGAGCGAAGACACGAGCTTGAAAGGGAGGAAGGTGCCAGACAAATGCGAGAGCTGGAGGCTCGAGTAGGTCGAGCCGCAAACCCGAACCCGGAACGAGCTATAACACGGGTCATGAATGACCTGCGGATCTCAAGCACCCAGGCGAACCCTGATGGGACCCGAACTCGGGTGAGAGGAATTGGAAATGTCGAAGGCCGGCCTCAAAGGAGCATACCCAACATGGTTCACAATCAAGGACCCGAAGTTCACAACAACGTTGTAGGACAACCGGAAAGGCTGGGAGAGAACCCCCAATCTTCAGATTGGAGACGCCCATCCCGGAACCCAAACGCGAACGACGTATCCGGGGTCTATAGGAGGAAGTATCACAGGGGGAAACACAATGACAGCCCCTTTGT